TGTAGCTGTGTGACGATGTCACACCGTGTGACTTACACAGGAAAGCTCGATGAATCATTTGAATTGAAGACAGAAGAAGAGGCTACCTACTATGATTGGGGATCTTCATAATCCTGTTGGACTGATTCATGTGTTAAGCCATAGACTGTTTGAAAACAAGTGTACACCAGATAGATGAATTTTGAAGACCATTATAGCATATGCAATACGAACTGGATTATATGCAAGCGAAAATCAACTAGCTGTCAGAGGAGACCGAGGAGACAATCAATCAGTTGAATACAGAGAAGACGGGGATGATGAGGATACCCTACTCACAAGAACAAGCACCAGTCTGTATAATTAGGAAAAATTCGAAAGGGGGTAACTCTTTGCCTTACCTGGGCAGCATCATTTTAGTTAAAGGCGGCATGGTTGAGAATGTCAAAGGCAGTGTATGTAAAACAGAATAGACCTCTATTAATCTGAAATCACTGTGGGAATCTCCTCCACAAAGCATACAGAAACGAAATTCTGACGTCAGGCCACTGCTTCCAGCTATGAGTTGGGCGTCCAAGATAATTTGTTTGCCACAAAAAATGTGTACCTTGGTGACTCATCATGTATACACCACAGTGTACGCTTACGTGAGAAAATTGCACACTGACATACTAATATTTACTCAGGACATTTTGAGTGCACTCTGTTGGCCACAATCATTTCATGGCACTCACATAATTTTCAAATTTCGTCCATATGATTCCATTATCTCCAATTCCATGGTTTTATTGGTGGTATTATTTTCCATATCTCTCGTATTGTCGCCGCACCGTTCCTATTGAAGATGTTAGGTGAAGATTCGATGAACAAAGGCCCAATAATCAACCTCTCCCTCCGCTCATCTATATTAATTTTGAGAACTACATGCCTCTTCCACCTTAATATGTGGTTCTGTATTAACACACGAATGCTACCCCTGAGTTTTTCTCTTGACCATTCATCTAGATTCTTGTGCTCAGAGAACCTGACTATTCCCAATCTATTAGTCGGACCAATGTGGTTCAGTTGATTCACAGTTATCGAAAGGTGATCTGTAGACTACATTATTTTGCTTAAGTGCGACGGAAAGTTCTTATAGCTTACAAGGCTTGTAACTGGATGTTATTCGACGACCTCCTCAATGTATGCCCGATCAATCTCTATTTTCTCCTATGTATGAGGGACGCCAGTTTACAGGCATCACCAATATGATAAATTGCACATACGATAAGTAAGCATATTTAATAATGGTAATTTAATAAAATACATATTTTCCCCACCTGTGTAGGACACACCAATTGTACAGGCATTGATAAATATTATTTAAATTACATAAATTTGGTTTATTGTTAAATTACATGGTGGCTGTCGTTTTTGTCCTTGGTTTGTGGAAACAGTATGATAACTAGTCATTCAATGGAGCACATCAAGAAATATAGAAATACTCTCTTCGCATTAACAAAAAACCCAAGTATGTTTTGAATGGATTACGAATACCTGGGAAAAAATAAAGCTTGAAGTAATTCCCCCATATAACATTAGTGTGTGCATGGCATCGAGTCTTATTCGTGATTTATATCCGGCCTGCTTAAATCTTGGGCTGCCAAATGCCTTACACATTACAAATCATACTGCATCTAATTGCTTATTTCCGATTTCATTTTAAATAATTAAATCATATTCAAATATGACCTCTAATCGGATTGTTTATTCCCATAAGTATTTGATATCCGTAAAACCTACTGATCTGCAATTCCATAAAAAAGACAAAAAAGCATCATGCCGGGTGGCAAAGGGCCTTTAAAAAATACCTCCATTCAATTTATGACTGTTCCAGGAATTATGAGTATTAATTGTCGCTCCCTGCCAGCTAACATTGAATGTCTTCAATCACTCGTGTCTTCCAATACATGTCGCAATTCTGGGATCATACCACTTCAAGAAACATGGCAACATGACCTATATGATGACAATCTGGTGTATCTAAATAATTTCAAATTAATCAGACAAGATCGGTGTAGTTCCAGCAAGAAACACGGTGGCGAAGTCGCCATCCTCATCAATTCACAATGAAGTACATCTTATAATTTATGTTTCAAATTCTCTAGTGACAATATTGACTGCCTCATCGTTAACTGTCGACCTAAACATTTGCGAAAACATAACTACATGTATATCTTGAACATTTATAATGCTTCTGGATGCAATTTCACAGAATTGTCCTTATTTGCGGATGATTTTACCCCCCATGCTGGCACCTCCTTCGGAAACTCCTTGTCTATAGTTACTGGAGACTTTAATTCTAGTGGCCACAGCTTCCTTATTTCACTTGGACATGAGAACATTGTCAACTTCCCGACTCGACTGGATAATCCTCTTGATCTCGTATTTAAAAATGACATAGGAATATTCGAAGCTAGAAAAAGACCCTCACTAATTAATTGTGATCACTGTATCAAAAGAATATTGCCCAAAGTATATGGAAAGCAGCACAAAAGGGTCTTTTCATACCTTGGAAAGAAAACACAACACAGATGTTATTCTCATGACAACATACAGAATCTAAGGACCATGTTAAAAGATACAAACTGGGACTTGTTTACTGAACAAGCTCTTGATAACACAATTAGTAACATAACACATTATCTTAATTTCTGTCTTGATGTTTGTTGTCCTAAAGAGACAATCTTCTTAAAATTCGACCGCTTCTCCTCTTCTTAACTCAAAAAGCTTCGCCGTGTAAAAGAGAGGCTGTACAAAAAGGAAAAGTAAATATGGTGTTAAGAGAATGAACGCTTTGATTAAAGCTGAATTACAAAGATTAAATGCTATATATAATCAGAAGTTTCTTTCATGTAAATCCTCATCTAATATGTGGAAGCTATTAAAGGAAATCACAGGTGGTAAGCAAATAATGAATGATACTTCCGTTGATGTTGATATGCTTAATAAACCCTTCATATGTATCCCTGCAGATGTTATGATTCCCAAATCTAATAGTATAAATAATGACTGCTTCTAATGTTCTAACACGAATGATGTCCTCAAACCTACCCAGTCCCTTCGTCCTGATAGAGTTCCTGCTGTTATCCTTAGGAAGTGTGCTGACATCTTATGTTACCCACTAACCGGCATTTTCAATGAATCTTTTTCCAAAAGTATTATTCCTGATTCATGGAAAAATATCAAGGTTGTTCCAGTGCCTAAATCAACAAGTGGACCTACTGTCAAGTTTAGACCCATTGCTATTACCTCACCATTTTTAAAAGTTATGGAAAGACTTATTTTACTTAATCTTGAACCCTCTTTAAAGCCTTTTAATGACCCCAACCAGTTTGCTTATAGACATAGTAGGTGTACCTTAGATGCCGCTATTGTCTTATATCATAATATAGTCTCTAGTTTAGATAGAGGAGCTAAATACGTTCGGTGTGCCTTCCTTGATTACACATCTGCATTTGACTCTGTACCTAGGTCTTTTTTGCTAAGTAAGCTTGCCGCAACACAGGCTGAGAGCTGGACAAATAAGTGGTTGAATTCCTATTTTTCTGATAGGAAGCAGTACACCGTCTACAATGGAAAGTCCTCCACTACCTCACTTTCTTTAGCTGGTGTTCCTCAAGGTGCTGTTCCTTCTCCTTTTCTGTTTTCATTTTTTCTTAGATGACTTGCCCCATTCTGTCAACTCAGTCAGATTGTTCCAAATTAAATAACTTTCTGTCGGAAATTGGTCAGCGGTCCTCTTCAAACGGTCTTAGTCTGAATCCGTCTAAATGTCAGGTAGTAAATTTCACTTTCAGATGAAAAGTGACCCACAACAACTAGCTAGCTCACATGGTCCCACTACCATTGACGGCATAGAGGTTGAAATTACATCTAATGTCAAGTACCTTGGACTGAGTATATCCTCCGATCTTTCCTGGTCCTTTCATTTGGAGATTCCACGTGAAAAGTGGTTGACTGGCCCCCTGAGATATTTGCTCTCTAACTTCTTAAGACTTAACACACTTTTGTCTTCATTTCTTTTCCCTTCATCCTTTTGTCTCCTGTATTTATTTTCAAGTGCTGGTTTACAGTGATTTAGTGATTACGGTTTTTGTCACGTGCCGACATCAGTCGGGCAATCATTGAAAAACTAGGGAGTACCGGACAGCTGTTTCGTCCCAGTTTAGGACTCGCACGACCACAGGGTTTCGGACCCAGGACCTTCTGGTTACAAGGCAAGCTCGTATACCATTCAGCCACCCGAATTCGGACCAACGGCCTACGAATTCCAGCTTCTAGCAATTCGCGAAATATATAGCTCATGATCAAACCTGTAACCAATCAAATCCCTGAAAACTAGCACCTGAAAATTAATCGGATGCTCACCAGTAACTGGCTTTACAAAGGAAGTTATGTGCAGTTCTAGTTGAAAGTCTCAACCAGCGGGGCCCACTAAGTCTGATAAGAGGAGAATTATTCGCCCATGACATTGACTGGTAGTTGCGCTATATGCATCGTGGATTAGCAGAAGCTGGAATTCATCAGCTGTCGGTTCGAATCCCGTTAACTGAGCAGTCTACGAGCTTGCCTAGTAGTCATACAGTCTTGAGTCCAAACGCCGGAGGGTGCGTACAGATGAGGAGTCTAAAACTAGGGCCAAACAACTCTCCACGTCTTCCTCGTTCTTTTCAATGGTTCTCTGACTGATGTCAGCTCGTGATCAAACCTGTCCTACGTTTATGTCGTGGTATAAAATGTGTCAATTCGTATAGTGACGCAGTAGTTCTAGGTGATATAAGAATGTTCTGTCATTACATGGGTCTGTCTTGTGATACAGATATTTCAGTAACTACTGTCACGTTTCTGTGCAAATTTGAGAATTTATTTCAATACATATATGTTTCTAATTCGATTTAAATGAATTAGTAGTTGTCCAACATTATTCTGTCTTCATATATCGTGTACTGATAATCTTACTTTTATTTTCCACTTTTAGAATGTTACTTCAATTCCTTTCAAAACCTGAAGCTCCATTATGGCAAGGATATTTTATTGCAACTTCTATGCTATTAATGCAAATAATAAGTGTTTTCCTGAGTCAGAAGGGTTTTTATTCATGTTTGTCATTGGGAATATCCGTCCGTTCAGCGCTTACATCGGCAGTTTATCGTAAAGTGAGTTAAACGTACTTAACTGTCGTGTTAAATCGTGTTTTCCATAACATGTACTAACCATAAACATCTATTATTATTTTTTCATTAGTCTCTCCGGTTATCATCAGAAGCTCGGGCTGAGTATACGACTGGTGAATTAGTAAATTTGCTCAGTGTTGACGTGAATCGCATTAAGGAACTTTTTAGTAAGTATCAAAATGAATTTGCTTTATCCACTTGCTAGTTGACATGTGTTATAGCCTTTCCAAAGAGAAATTTGAATTGTATTTATTGCTTTTGCTGTTAATTGCTGTTGTTGTTAAACGCGACAGAATTTTTAGTTGTAGTTCGTGGATTATTATCCTGCGACGTTGACAGCATTTATGTGTAACCAAAACCCCTCAACAGCCACGTGTTATATTCTCCTTATTCTTGTAGTGCAAACATTACCTACATCTTAGTATTGATGAGAGTTTCAATTCTAGGGCTGTATAAATACACGTCAGTTCCATAAAATAATAAACTTAATATACACTTTTTCAGTTTACTAACTTTTCTTGATACATGTGGATACTGTCATTTTATAACAATTAATACCCTGCTTTTTTGAGGCAGTAAATTTCCACTGGATGGTGTTTACGGTGTAATGATGTGCTCATATTCCAGTATTGTTTTTATTGTTTTGGATGTCATTGAGAATGGTCTTAGACAAGTAATTTCACTAAAATAGAGAATACTTCTAATAAAGTAAGTTAACAAATTTCAACGTATCGTGACCACATATTTTAAAATAAAAAAGAGCCCAATTATTCACCTTTCAAACATGTGTTGTTACAAAGGTGTTCAAAAATAACATCAGAGTTAAGAAAAAAATTTGTAAAGTGTAAACTTTGCTTTTTATCAAACCATCTATTCATATTCATAACTTGTTCATAGTTTCTGTGAAAAGAGTCTTAAAGAAAAAAAATGTTTTGCATACACTTGGTTCCCTGAATTGGTTTAAACAGATATTTGCAGGTTAAGAAAAGGGTTCATTTTATTTTCCCACTTGTCTACAGCTGCTAATAGCCTAAAAATTACATAATAATAATAATAGTATTAATAATGGCTTTATTCCAAACAGTATTTGTGGTACAGGTATGGAATTTTCAGCGTGCATTACAATATTGCATCTAATTACCTCATAAATTTTATAAGATTTTAAAAAGAAAAAAAACAAAAAAGAAAAATGAAAGAAATAAAAAGAACAGCATTGCATTCACATATTTGAACAATGCACCACAGGACATGAAATATAAAATTAGTGTGTAATAGAATATGTGAGCAACAATATAATAGTAACAAAGAAAGGAGAACAAAAGCTAATGGGAACTGTTTGTTAGAGTGCCGCAGTAAGGTGATCGTGTCATGCTTAACAGTTTTCTCATCACATAACAGCTGTGCCAGATAAGGTATTGTGGATTCCATATTAGTTTGTTTATTAGGTATATCACACAGTGAAACAGTATTATTGTGTGATATAAACAAACTAATGTGGAATTACTTACTACCACAGTGCCCAAGTTTTACACATATATTAATAAGGTATTGTGTAGTTTTTGTACTTGGTAGTCCTAGCATATAGCCTCCTATAGCTGCTTCTAGTTCTATCAGATGAAATGCAAGGAGAGAGCTGCGTATAGAGAGGATGCTCAGGGTCTGACAATATAGTATTCGCTAGTTTCTTACATGGCATTATACATCTATCCACAATAGTATAAACCAGTTGGTTTAACGATTTCCCACTTGCCCTACTAACGGCTTTTAGTGCCCTTCTCAGCAAAGCAAAATCTTTCTTAACTAGTCCAGGAAAGATTAATGGGGAGCAGTAAAGAAGTATGGGTAGAATACAAGAATTGACAAACTGAGAAAGCAAAGACTGCTTTATACCAGAATACCTTAATTTCCTAACGTAGAACGTCAAGCGAAACATCTTACTAGTAACTAGCAAGATGTGAGAGAACCAGGAAAGATCGGAGGAAATACTCAGTCCAAGGTACTTGACATTAGATGTAATTTCAACCTCTATGCCGTCAATGGTAGTGGGACCATGTGAGCTAGCTAGTTGTTGTGGGTCACTTTTCATCTGAAAGTGAAATTTACTACCTGACATTTAGACGGATTCAGACTAAGACCGTTTGAAGAGGACCGCTGACCAATTTCCGACAGAAAGTTATTTAATTTGGAACAATCTGACTGAGTTGACAGAATGGGGCAAGTCATCTAAGAAAAAATGAAAACAGAAAAGGAGAAGGAACAGCACCTTGAGGAACACCAGCTAAAGAAAGTGAGGTAGTGGAGGACTTTCCATTGTAGACGGTGTACTGCTTCCTATCAGAAAAATAGGAATTCAACCACTTATTTGTCCAGCTCTCAGCCTGTGTTGCGGCAAGCTTACTTAGCAAAAAAGACCTAGGTACAGAGTCAAATGCAGATGTGTAATCAAGGAAGGCACACCGAACGTATTTAGCTCCTCTATCTAAACTAGAGACTATATTATGATATAAGACAATAGCGGCATCTAAGGTACACCTACTATGTCTATAAGCAAACTGGTTGGGGTCATTAAAAGGCTTTAAAGAGGGTTCAAGATTAAGTAAAATAAGTCTTTCCATAACTTTTAAAAATGGTGAGGTAATAGCAATGGGTCTAAACTTGACAGTAGGTCCACTTGTTGATTTAGGCACTGGAACAACCTTGATATTTTTCCATGAATCAGGAATAATACTTTTGGAAAAAGATTCATTGAAAATGCCGGTTAGTGGGTAACATAAGATGTCAGCACACTTCCTAAGGATAACAGCAGGAACTCTATCAGGACGAAGGGACTGGGTAGGTTTGAGGACATCATTCGTGTTAGAACATTAGAAGCAGTCATTATTTATACTATTAGATTTGGGAATCATAACATCTGCAGGGATACATATGAAGGATTTATTAAGCATATCAACATCAACGGAAGTATCATTCATTATTTGCTTACCACCTGTGATTTCCTTTAATAGCTTCCACATATTAGATGAGGATTTACATGAAAGAAACTTCTGATTATATATAGCATTTAATCTTTGTAATTCAGCTTTAATCAAAGCGTTCATTCTCTTAACACCATATTTACTTTTCCTTTTTGTACAGCCTCTCTTTTACACGGCGAAGCTTTTTGAGTTAAGAAGAGGAGAAGCGGTCGAATTTTAAGAAGATTGTCTCTTTAGGACAACAAACATCAAGACAGAAATTAAGATAATGTGTTATGTTACTAATTGTGTTATCAAGAGCTTGTTCAGTAAACAAGTCCCAGTTTGTATCTTTTAACATGGTCCTTAGATTCTGTATGTTGTCATGAGAATAACATCTGTGTTGTGTTTTCTTTCCAAGGTATGAAAAGACCCTTTTGTGCTGCTTTCCATATACTTTGGGCAATATTCTTTTGATACAGTGATCACAATTAATTAGTGAGGGTCTTTTTCTAGCTTCGAATATTCCTATGTCATTTTTAAATACGAGATCAAGAGGATTATCCAGTCGAGTCGGGAAGTTGACAATGTTCTCATGTCCAAGTGAAATAAGGAAGCTGTGGCCACTAGAATTAAAGTCTCCAGTAACTATAGACAAGGAGTTTCCGAAGGAGGTGCCAGCATGGGGGGTAAAATCATCCGCAAATAAGGACAATTCTGTGAAATTGCATCCAGAAGCATTATAAATGTTCAAGATATACATGTAGTTATGTTTTCGCAAATGTTTAGGTCGACAGTTAACGATGAGGCAGTCAATATTGTCACTAGAGAATTTGAAACATAAATTATAAGATGTACTTCATTGTGAATTGATGAGGATGGCGACTTCGCCACCGTGTTTCTTGCTGGAACTACACCGATCTTGTCTGATTAACTTGAAATTATTTAGATACACCAGATTGTCATCATATAGGTCATGTTGCCATGTTTCTTGAAGTGGTATGATCCCAGAATTGCGACATGTATTGGAAGACACGAGTGATTGAAGACATTCAATGTTAGCTGGCAGGGAGCGACAATTAATACTCATAATTCCTGGAACAGTCATAAATTGAATGGAGGTATTTTTTAAAGGCCCTTTGCCACCCGGCATGATGCTTTTTTGTCTTTTTTATGGAATTGCAGATCAGTAGGTTTTACGGATATCAAATACTTATGGGAATAAACAATCCGATTAGAGGTCATATTTGAATATGATTTAATTATTTAAAATGAAATCGGAAATAAGCAATTAGATGCAGTATGATTTGTAATGTGTAAGGCATTTGGCAGCCCAAGATTTAAGCAGGCCGGATATAAATCACGAATAAGACTCGATGCCATGCACACACTAATGTTATATGGGGGAATTACTTCAAGCTTTATTTTTTCCCAGGTATTCGTAATCCATTCAAAACATACTTGGGTTTTTTGTTAATGCGAAGAGAGTATTTCTATATTTCTTGATGTGCTCCATTGAATGACTAGTTATCATACTGTTTCCACAAACCAAGGACAAAAACGACAGCCACCATGTAATTTAACAATAAACCAAATTTATGTAATTTAAATAATATTTATCAATGCCTGTACAATTGGTGTGTCCTACACAGGTGGGGAAAATATGTATTTTATTAAATTACCATTATTAAATATGCTTACTTATCGTATGTGCAATTTATCATATTGGTGATGCCTGTAAACTGGCGTCCCTCATACATAGGAGAAAATAGAGATTGATCGGGCATACATTGAGGAGGTCGTCGAATAACATCCAGTTACAAGCCTTGTAAGCTATAAGAACTTTCCGTCGCACTTAAGCAAAATAATGTAGTCTACAGATCACCTTTCGATAACTGTGAATCAACTGAACCACATTGGTCCGACTAATAGATTGGGAATAGTCAGGTTCTCTGAGCACAAGAATCTAGATGAATGGTCAAGAGAAAAACTCAGGGGTAGCATTCGTGTGTTAATACAGAACCACATATTAAGGTGGAAGAGGCATGTAGTTCTCAAAATTAATATAGATGAGCGGAGGGAGAGGTTGATTATTGGGCCTTTGTTCATCGAATCTTCACCTAACATCTTCAATAGGAACGGTGCGGCGACAATACGAGAGATATGGAAAATAATACCACCAATAAAACCATGGAATTGGAGATAATGGAATCATATGGACGAAATTTGAAAATTATGTGAGTGCCATGAAATGATTGTGGCCAACAGAGTGCACTCAAAATGTCCTGAGTAAATATTAGTATGTCAGTGTGCAATTTTCTCACGTAAGCGTACACTGTGGTGTATACATGATGAGTCACCAAGGTACACATTTTTTGTGGCAAACAAATTATCTTGGACGCCCAACTCATAGCTGGAAGCAGTGGCCTGACGTCAGAATTTCGTTTCTGTATGCTTTGTGGAGGAGATTCCCACAGTGATTTCAGATTAATAGAGGTCTATTCTGTTTTACATACACTGCCTTTGACATTCTCAACCATGCCGCCTTTAACTAAAATGATGCTGCCCAGGTAAGGCAAAGAGTTACCCCCTTTCGAATTTTTCCTAATTATACAGACTGGTGCTTGTTCTTGTGAGTAGGGTATCCTCATCATCCCCGTCTTCTCTGTATTCAACTGATTGATTGTCTCCTCGGTCTCCTCTGACAGCTAGTTGATTTTCGCTTGCATATAATCCAGTTCGTATTGCATATGCTATAATGGTCTTCAAAATTCATCTATCTGG